GAAGATGAATTGAAAGATCACGAGTAGGATCATGACTCTTCTGCTTTCTCACTCCATACTGGGAAACTCTGTTATCGGCACCTGCACTTGTTCTCCCTTGATTTTCACTCGAAGATCCTCCGTCTGATGGGTATGAAGATTGTCCACTTGCAACAGGCAGTGAACTTGGCAGCGCCAATGAAGAAAGAGTTCTCTGTCGGATATAATCATAAAATGTATTAGCACATACAATAAACCAAAATCATCACTCCACTCAACATGATATAGTTTGATATAATTACCTGCAAGGGACTCTGAAAATCATTCACAAGGAACACATTTGCATCTTCTGACGACCTATACAAAGCTAAGACTATGTAAGTTTCTATTATTTATGGCATAACTATGTAACGACACATCCAGTTCCATACGATGATAAACTTAGGTCGTCCACAAAGCCTATGAGTAAGTAACAAAGGCTATAAAAACCATCCGAAAGTAACAATACATTGTGCATCCCTAAGCTACTTTGATATAGTAACCCAGCAGATGTGAAGACATGCTTTCCATAAATAAGCATATCAATATATGCCAGGGACAGAAGGTATTTCACATCAGACACAAACCTTGCAAGAAAAACATGCTGCTTCACCATGGCCAGAAACTCCCTGACTCCGCCATTGTAGAAGTACAGAGGTGGAAATGCAAGTCCTGCAGGTCATTTCAAACGATTATCAGTTTCTTAGATAATCGACTTGTGAAGAGAAAAGAGAATCACATCCCACTGTTGCTGCAATTGATAATCCTAAATAGTGTTTCAAGATTTTCAATATGAATAAATCTCAACGAACGCAACAGCCTAAGTCTTTGCTTACCAGAAGATAGCACAACAATCACATACTGCCATCCGAGAGCAGGAGTGTGTCGCCTGATGGACCTCACTTCCGTGAACGGAACTGCTGTGATGGTATAAAGACTCCTGTCTAGAAAAGAAATAGAAACTAAGAACAAAGTTAAAGCCATTTTCTTCAGCACCACAACATAGAGTATACTAATTAAGTTCAAAAGTCCTGATTACCTTTCTCTGATAGCTTTGCATTTGAGGTTTGTCCCTTGTACGGAGTCCACGACTAGCCATCACACAGATAAAAAAAAATGGAAGCAGAATATATTCATCCTCTTAATTCTTGGATCATAACCAAACAAAATCATTGAAATCTAAAGCAGGTGAATAGAAAAGACTTCAACAAAGGAAGGAAACAGAATTGCAGTGATTACCAGGTAGAGAGTAGAGTCTTGCTTAGTTAACTTCAATCTCCCACTAATCCTCTCCGATGCGAACTGTGTGGGATGAATTGCAACATTATCCTTCAAATATATCAATTCGGCGCCTTCGTGTTCACTAGACGAACTTCTCTTCTCGCTGTCGCACCGCATCATGCTCGCCGATCCCTTGCACAAATCAGCAAATCAAAACGATCAATCCACCGGGAAATTAACTTGGTGATCGACTCAAAATAGAGCAAACGAAAGAGAACGAGTACGACTTCGCTTGGCGGAGAATTTTTTTCATCGCGATTACGATTGACTTGTTCAAAAACTGCGAAATGGAAAGCAACGAGGAAGTCAGAAATCAGAATAGCAAACCTGTTGTTGAGATGCAGCGTAATCGGCGTCGTCAGAGAGATCCTGTAGCTCCGATGCCTCCATACTCATGATTTCGCGAGAAGAGAGAGAGGGAGAAGAAGAAGAAGAAGAAGCGATCGATTACCCTCGAGACGAAGTAAAAAGAGCCCGACGGAAACTACTACAGACGCGTTGGAGAATATTCGATTACGTGTATCTCTCTCTATATTAATATCTTCTAATTATTTGCACTGCCTGGGCATTCGGTTATTCGGATCGTGTTCGGGTCGGTTCCTTTCGGATTTCGGGTTTTTCAGTTCTATAAATTTTAGTACTATTCCGGATCGGTTCCGGGTATCCAAATTTTATTACAGAAAATAAAATAAAAATAAAAAACTGTTTCATTTAAATGAAATTTTATTAAACTTAGCAAAACTAATTGAATATTAACAAATATAACTAAATATTTTTGGATTTCTTGAATATTTTAATTATTTCTTTCTAAATTTAACTATTATATTAGGTTTATAATTGTAATTTTACATATTTTGGTTATTTTAAGTCTAAATATAACTAATATTTTTAGAAATATAACTAATATTTTTAGAAATATAATTATATTTTCAATATTCCGGATACTCATTCGGTTCTTGGTTCGGTTCGGGTTTGGGTCCAGTTCTTTCGGGTATAAGAATTTTGGACTCATTCAGATATTTGTGTTGGTTCTGATCCGGTTCGGTTCTATCTATTTCGGGTCGGGTTCGGTTCTATATTTCGGGTCCGGATAAAAATGCCCAAGCCTAATTTGCAGGTTAAGGGTAAGATAAGGGTTTCAAATACGAAGGTGAATTTCCAATTAAAAAGAAAAACACATCTGAGTTTTGTTCTTTTTTTTTTTGTTGTGAAGTTGTTTTATTTTGTTGGTTTAAAGTCGGTTTAAGTAATACCATGATTTGGCAGCATACAAGGCTGGTTTGGTTAACACTTAACAGTGCGGAGAGAAGCTAATTAGATATTTTGATGATAGTTTTTTGAAGTGTTCAAATATATCATAAACTAAAAGTTTTGAATAATGACATTTACACGGTGATAAATCTACATAACTAATAAGGCTTGGACAATCTCCAGCCTTTGACACGTGGCACTCTCTTTTTTTTTTTTTTCGCCTAACACCAAAACGACGTCGTTTTGCGCTTTATTTTTTTTTTCGTCTTACACCAAAACGACGTCGTTTTCGTATTAAAAAAAAAAAAAAAAAAATCTAAATCAAAATTATGTGTAATGCTGTTCGTTTTGATGGGCTTGATTATTTATCGGACCTCTTCGTTTCCATGGTAGCTTTAAATGGGCTTACTGGCTAATTAGCTCATTTCATTTCCTTTTAAAAAGGATTGCAATTATTATTATCTATGAGTCTGTAGGATAATAATCAATCTATAATGATTGTTAGTATAAGGAAAATTAGAAGAACTCAACTCCAGTCGATAAATTATTGTATAAAAGAACAAAAAACATATGAAACTATTCACTATGAGTCTATATAAGATTTCACGTAAATAACAACTAAATTTTAAAACTATATGAAAAAAAACAAAATGCAAAACTTACAGAATCTAATATATTCGAGTAAAAAACAAATGATATATTCGAATCTAATGTTCTGAATAATTAAATTAAAAATATTTGGTTTAATAAACCCGCGCATTGCGCGGGTTCTCTCCTAGTCAATTTTGATAGTGATTTCAGTGAAGTTACATATCCGAACGGTTTGCGTTAATTTCCTAGAAATTGAAACTATATAAAAGTTCAGGTGACGCACAATATCAATGTAATTCGAGAAAATATCATGTTATCTTTTGTTAGGCTAGAAGCTGCCAAACCTTTAAAACAAAACGAACATTGCAAATTCGAGCACAAACTAAAAGCATAAGAAAAGTAACAAGGGCAATAAACTCTCATGTCAAACTTTATAAGCAAGGAAATATGTGAAGTGTGTATGGAAGTAAGAATCTTAAAAGCTAAAAGGTAAAATCAAAAAGATGTAACAAATGTAGTATTGTATCATATTATAATGTTGTGAACTTTTAATTCATACAAAACATGTAACAAGAATAAAGCGTTTAGAAAGATGAGGTGCACGGGAAATGTTACATTTGAACTAATTATAAAGAATCCACACAAGCATGCATCTTATAAGAAAATATTCACTACTATATGAGATGTCAATTGTCATGTTCCTAATACAGTGATACGTTTGCTATTTAGGTTCTTGTAATGAAAAAGCAAAATACAATAATGCTTTTTGTAGTGAAAAAGAAATTGGAAGCTGACGTGGATGCATCTTCTTGCAGTTAGCTTGATTGTATTTGCTAGAATCTCACCTAAAAATGGGTCACCGGTTTGGATGGATAACCGAATCAAATGTTTTATTCTTTTACTTTTGTAGATGTATCCTTTTTGGGATGAATCAATCTCTCTACATGATCAAAACAATTGCTCAAATGTTACAAGGTGAAGATTGTTACCCATTTATTTTCTAAAGCTATATCTCATATAGTCATATTTCTACTTTCCTTGTAGAAAGCTACACCACCTTGATCCTTACGTCACAAATAATTTGGACTCGGTTTGTGATGGCTTTGCTTGGCTCTTTCTTTGCGTCGGACCACAAGCGCACCGAGCGACAGTTCTTGGTATGAAAACATTATCGCAAAAAAAAATGGCAATAGTTTGAAAACTTAACTGTGTACTTGTGTAGTAAAAATCACTTGTATACCTCGTTTAGCTTACATGTGTAATCCGATGAAATAGATAAACCAATAAAGATTCGACACATGGAAGATGGTGATACTCCTCGTCTATTCGGTGGAAAAAGAGGCCACGTGGAGTTAGTTAAGAGAAGTGGGAGTGATTCGCTGTCGACGACGTGGGAAAATCCTAGAAAATGGCTCATCACCTTTCGTTACCTCAAAACTCAAAAGCCACTAGCGAAATGTGTGAACGTTCCTTTCTTGTCACTTTTTTTTTTTTTTTTTTTTTTTTTTTTTTTTTATATTTGTTTCATGTGCTTTGTTTTCTACGAAAGAAAATGTGAATTTCTTTCATTTACATATGCTTCAAATGGGATTTTCAAATCAATCATAGTAACAAATCTCCATAAAAAAAATTATATTTTTATTCTAATTTAAAGCTAATGTTAGTAATAAACTAATAACTACATATTTGGATTTGAAATTGTTATTGTAATTCAACTCCCAATAAACCAAAAAGAGCACAACCGAAACAGAAAAATTGTGGCCTCTCTGCATTTAACTCTTGTCTCTGTAACCTTCACCACACATCATCGTCACGGCCTTCTCTATTCTTCCCTCTCTCTACCTCTAATAGCTCCTTCTATGGCAGGACTCTCATCAATCTCCGTAACACTCAAACCACTCAACCGAGCTTTCTCCTCCTCTAACTCCCGCCACAACCACACTACATCCGACGCCGTTTTCCCTCCATCTCTCCGATTTAACGGATTTAAACAGCGCAAGATCCTCACCGTCTGTTTCGTCGTCGACGATCGGAAACAGAGCTCTCCCATGGACGACAGACCGGAAAGCACGAGCTCTTCTGAGACCTTGGCGACGTCGCGGCGTCTACAGAAAGCGGAGAGGAAGAAATCGGAGAGATTCACTTATCTAATCGCGGCTGTGATGTCGAGCTTTGGTATTACTTCCATGGCTATCATGGCCGTTTATTACCGATTTTCCTGGCAAATGGAGGTAAAAGAAAAAATAAAAAATAAAGAAAATCAATATTTTTGTTCGTACGAGTTTTGAAACTGAAACTCGATTTTTTATTTTTTATTTTATTTAGGGAGGTCAAGTGCCTGTATCAGAAATGTTAGGTACATTTGCTCTCTCCGTTGGTGCCGCCGTAAGTTCCAATTTCAATTTAGTTACCAGATTTTCTAATGGACTTAAAAACGTGACCCTAAACGCAAAAACATTTCACATTTTGTTTAGTCTCTTTTTCTTTTTTCTTTTTAATTAAAAAATAATGTTTGGATTTAAAGGTTGGGATGGAGTTTTGGGCAAGATGGGCACATAGAGCTTTGTGGCACGCTTCTTTGTGGAACATGCATGAGGTATTTTGGATTTTACCAGTTTATTGCTACAAAATCAAAATCATCTTTGTGATGTTTTATCGTATTTTTGTTTGTGGTGGCAGTCTCATCATAAACCTAGAGAAGGAGCGTTTGAGTTAAACGATGTGTTTGCAATAATAAACGCGGTTCCTGCGATTGGTCTTCTCTATTATGGATTCTTCAATAAAGGACTTGTCTCTGGTCTTTGCTTCGGTGCCGTAAGTTCTTGTCTCTCTCTTTTCTTCGACCATATCCGAAACTCAACAAAAATCAGGGAGCAGCAACAATAATTGGTCTTTGACTCTTGCACTTTATCTTACCTTTTTTTTTTTATTACACCGAAGGCGAAACCGAAAGTATATAATTATGTGGGTTTTTTTCCACCGCCCCAAAAACATGAGTTAAATTAAATTAAACTACTACACGAGTAATATTTCTGTATAATATAGTGGATTCATTAGGTAGATGGCAAAATTTTGGCTTAAAGTAGCCAAAATGCTATGAACAAAACCGAAACTAATGTATCATACATATAAAATTATGTTTCATCTAAGAATTTACTCTCTCTCGTTTTTTACAAAGAGTGTTACTTGGCAATTTTACTTATAAAAATCCAGTTTTAATTTTATTATATATACTAGTGTATTAATTAGAAATAAATCTTTTATTAATGTATTTACAAAAATATAATAGTGCAATTTTTAATGGTTGTTTCATAGTGTGAAAAAGTAGAATGACATTTATTATGTAAGATGAAGATTACCGTGTTAAAAAACAACATAAAATTAAAACAACTCTAACCTATCTATTTGAAGATATTTTATTCATAAATAATGCATAATCTTTTTTGCTAATGCTAACAAAATTTTTATACACGTACTGCATTTATTTAATACAAAAAATATATTATAGTATCTCTGTATATTTTTGCTAATGCTGACTGTTTTCTTTTTATATGGGTTTAGGGACTGGGAATAACGACGTTTGGGATCGCCTACATGTTCGTCCACGATGGACTCGTGCACAAGAGATTCCCTGTGGGTCCTATTGCCGACGTCCCTTACTTCCGAAAGGTCGCCGCCGCTCACCAGGTTTTATACCATAAAACATAATCCCATGGTCTTAATTATAATTAGTACAGACTTTAGAATATTTATCTAAAATCGATATTGTTTGTATTCAGCTACACCACACAGACAAATTCAAGGGTGTACCATATGGGCTGTTTCTTGGACCCAAGGCAAGAATCTTAAACCCTTGTAAATTAAGAGATTGCTAGTGATAAATGATAATTGCATCTAATTATATTTTTGTAAAACTGACTTTTGTTTGTTATATATGGTTTGGTTTTTGGAATGGTGCAGGAAGTGGAAGAAGTGGGAGGAAAAGAAGAGTTGGAGAAAGAGATTAACCGGAGAATCAAATTGTACAACAAAAGTTCCACCTCTTAAGTCTTAATTACTACAAACCCAATTTTAGTATTTTTTTTTTATTATTATTAAAAATCTGGTATGACTAAGCAAATATTAAAAAAAAAAAATGAAGTAGAAGAAGAGTCGGATTTCATTCTATTACAACAGCTCATGCACCCGCATAACCAGGGCTGGCCCTGAAATTTAGGGGGCTCAAGCTAATAAAGAGGAGTTATTAGATGTTTAATAATTTGGGGGCTATTCAGTGAAGTGAAAATAAATTAAAATCGGGGGCCTATTTTCAATACTATTAAACCAAAAATTTTTTTTGGCTGAAACTAATGTTTCGTTAGGCTGTGCGGAGGGCCGGCCCTGCGCATAACCATATTCAAATTTTTATGACTAAAATGGTTAATTATAAGTCTGGCTCTTCTTCTATGTGAGGTTTTTAATATCCAACTAGGTAAATACCCGCTCTTCGTTGCGGAAGAATGTCATTTAATCTTTTCTTGTGTTTGAATTAATATATCTATGTTGAAAAAATAATCCGTTTAAATTAAAGGTTTTTTACAGATAGTATATTTCAATTTTTTTGGAGCACATCATTATTATATAGAGCTAAAACATTTAAACATGAGATGAGTATTGAAACACACCAAGAATCAGAAGAAAAAAAGAGAAACAAAAAAACATCAGATGAGCATTCAAACTAATTTTTTCATGAACTCATCATAGCACTATCAATAGAAGAGTTAATATAAAAACACATATAGATGATCTTTCGTTGCATTTCAGCCTTCGTTATAGCTTTTGATTACCCGAGGCCAAGACTGGATATCTCCATCGGCATTAAGACAAACCAAAGAAAATAATTAGTTGAGATATCATTAGATTAAGGACCCATTCTAAAATCGGATTGGTTTCGGAAAATTAATCGAGTAACTTTGAAATACAAAGAAATCATCAGCTGAGAAATCAAAGAGACTATAGTTCTACGATAAAAAAAAAAGACTTGCCTTTTTGACAAGAGTTACACTTGAGGCCAAGAAAATCATTAATCTTTTGGCATCCCATGTCTTTGACAAGCATTGCTGCCATGTCAATTCTCCTACCCAGAAGAGAGTTATGTTCCTTTCCTTTGCAATCTTGTATACGTTCGAATCATAAGTGCTACAAAAACTCAGAGACCCAAAAGGAGAAAGAGATTAGCTTCCTTGAATAAGCTCAAAAACTCATAAAAGCCACACAAACAAAATAAAAAAATCAAGATTGAACACACATTGTACTCATGATTGTTGTAATAAGATAATAGCCAAGAGCAAACCTCAAATTCCCTGGTCTTATTCATTATCCCTATGTGAGCTGCAGGTTTTCTTCTTGATTATGTTTTCCAGTCAAGTCAAGTTTTAAACATGTGTCCTTCAGTAGGATTCAGAGCTTTTCAGTTTACCTGTCCACGACCAACTGCACAAACCTCTTTTGTGGTATATATCAAACCAGATCCCATACCAACTCTTAACCCATCAACACCAGCTTGAATCAAATTCTGCGCCTAATTAGTCGTCACAACGTTACCACCAATCACATCCAATTCAGGGTATGTCCTCTTCAAAGAATGAAGGAGGACTTTGAGCAAAAGGAGAGGGAGGGATCAGATAAAAAATAAGGACGAGCTGGTGAATCGTTTTCTCCTTCCACCCTCAGTCGTTCATAAACTTCAAAATCTGGAATTTAAATTATTTTCTTAACCCCCATAAATCTCCTCTCTCTGATCCAAATCCGTGGAAAGAACACCACCTGACTCGGATTAAGCTTCAATTTTGGTTTTTTTCTGCGCAAATTTACTCGTTTAAAGACATAGTAGCAGAGACCTGGAGACTGTTGCCGGAATCGCTTGCCAAAAGAACATAGACGACGGAGATTGAGCGAGTAGAGAGAGACGTTTTGAAGAAAAAAAAAGAAACTGAGTGACGTGGCAAGTAAAGAAGCTGACTGGTATTATTTAGAATGTTTCTATTGGTTGGACGATTTAAATGACGTGTCAGTTCCAGGAAGCTTACAAAAGCTGAGCTGTCAACACCTGTAGTGGCACAAGGGTTTTTACTGTGTTGATTTAACCTCAAACTTAGCTAATGTGATTAAGCTAACTACGATCAATTCACCTTGACACGTTTGTTGTTGATGATATTAATAAGACACAAGACTTTTTAACCCAGTTCCCTTTCGGTACGTCTGGGAGAGGACGGCACTCTCAATCCACTAGAATCAATCCACAATCAAGTGATTACAAGAGTGTTTGTTAAACTGTGATTTCTCTCTTACAAGCTTTCTCTTATGTCTCTCTTTCTAACCTTTTGCAGATGTTATCAAAGGAGAGAACCCTCTAGACGAAAGCAAGAAGAATCACTAACTGCTAAACCACAAACCCTCTCTACGAAGACAGAACCGTAGATAACTCTTGACCAAGTTCTTCCTCTGTTTGCCTCTGTTCTTCACGTTAGGTTTTCTGTAAAACCTAGAGCAATATATATGTTCCTGTATGGGCCACGACAAAGTACAGCCCAAAGCATATTCTCTTTAACTCTTGTAACACAGACATGGGCTTGAGCCCACATGAGATAAGTGACCCGGCTGCGACCCGTTAACCCGAGCCCGGACCCGCCTTATCTTTTGGTTTGTCGACACAGGATCACGTTCTACTTCAACTTTTATGATTCAGGCTTCCAAACTAATCTATTTTTGCATTTTAGAAGGTATCGATCATATATTGTTTCAAGAATGGAAAAAAATTCCATTTGATCGCCGAATAACAAAACCCGAGTACAAGTGCTTCAACGGTCGAACCGTATATCATATGCTCACAAACAAGTAACAATCCAGTAAAGAGGACTTAGCTTTGTCACGATGGACAAACTCAAGCATCCGATGAATCCAATTATTACGCTCCGAACATATTTAATGGCCGAACATATATTGAACAAACTCAAGCATCCGATGAATCCAATTATTACGTTCCGAACATATTTTATGGCTTAAGTATTTTTTCCCAACAATATGCATTATACTAGTTTGAATATTGATGGTTTACATTTAAAAAAAAAAAATATTGATGGTTTACATTACACAACAAATATAGTTATTCAAAAAACTAGATTACATGTATAATGTATTGGTCCGCATAAACAGTAACTATAAATTCAAGAAAAAAAATCAACAATATTTATTATTTAGCAGTTAACATCGAAAAGAAAGAATTAAACAAGGAGAATGCAATTCAAATAATAATTACCAAATTCAGTTAAAGGTAAAATCAAACAGAAACTGAAAAACAATCTACAATATTTCAGTCAAACCAAACAGAGATAGCAATGAAAATAACAAATGTATTTATTATATATATATATATTATATATATATATATTTATATATTATATATATATATAAACACCTTCCTCAATATCGTTTATATACACACAATAAAAAATTAGCCTTATAATTTTGCGTTGAGCCAAAAAAATAACTTGCAAGAGAAAATGGCGGGTAAGGTGTTTAAGATGATGATGATAATAGCGCTGATAGTGATGGGATGTGATTTACAAGCATGCAGTACAACGAATGTTGACGAAAGCACACCAACGCAAGATCCAAGATTTGTTTGCTTCAGAAGCTGTTCTATAAATTGTGGCAATCAGAACAAACCTTGTTACAAAGAATGTTTGACGAAATGCGGTCTCCCACAACGACAATCTAGACCAACACCACCTCAATTAAAATATTGATTTTATATTCGATGATTAGTGTTGTATTTTTTTTGTAATTCGAAAGATCGATGTGCTAAGAATGTCTTAAAACGTTTATGATGAAGAAATAAAATTCGAAAATTAAAAAATTATAACTTCAGTAATATGTAATTGTAACTTGGATCCGGATATCTTGAAATTCCAGTATATTAGCTCTACAAAAAAAAAAAAGAAAAAAAGAACAATGAATAAAGCCCTCCATTAGAAAAATTAATTCAATCATCCACAGAAAAGTTTCCAGGTTGAGTGAACTTATTTTTAATCTTCACTTTGCGGAATCTAAAACCTTTGATTCTTATTTCGTCTGTCTTTGTAATCAACGGTTTCCATGGTCCAACCATTGTTCTTGATCAAACCTCCTACTTTCACCTGTTTTCACATATCACGTAAGTCTTTCTATATGATGATAATTACAATAAGAGTTAACAATGGATATGACTCTTTCAAGAACACATTGCATACCTCTGCCTCATCAATGGAATCTACAATAAGAGCACCGTCCAAGGAAAGATGTTCAATAACTAGGCCACGACCCATAATAGCCATCGTTGATCTCTGAGACTTTCGTTTTGATATCGGAGAACATCATTCCCCACTTGGGTTTCCATGTGATACCGATACGAGACCATAATTCAACTTCTTGGCCGTTCTTCACTGGCTCTTCCACTGACACCAGCCAGAGGAATTAGTAAAACCAAAGAAACAAAAATGTTGCTTTAGAGACTAGAAGCCATCATGGAGAAGATTTGTTTTGACAATTTTAAAGGTTTTGTAAAACAGAGGAAAAGGCACCATCATTCATATTTGGCAGATAAATAAATAACAAAAAGTTGATTAATAAAGAGAAACGTGCTTTATTAATCGTTGCGTATTTTAACCTTAGCAC